TACATACATTAATGTCATTATTCAACAGCATTCAAATCTAAGAAAAAAACACCATGAAAATACCACTATTGGAAAGTAAGACCATGCTTAAAAGAAAAAAAAGGACATCCACAACATCGACGCATTTATTTATTCATTTTCATTTATTTATTAAAAATTGGACAAAACTGTCCAAGAGGAAGCCATGGGCTGAAGCCCCAACACAAAAGTGGGAACCTCTTGACATAAAATAAAATATAATGTACAGTAAGTAAAATTAGTATGGAACACCATGGTAAACATTTATATTACAGTAAAAATTACTATAAAAAAAATAAATAAAGAAAAAACACATGGTGTGGATCAATGACATTTAACAGTTGATCGAGGTGTTTATCAGGAACTTGAGAAAATGAGTTAACAGGCGGGCATAAAAACATAGGATTGTTTATGGGGGAAAATCATTTGAATTTTGACTAGCTTGAATCCAGACATTAAAATTGGAAGGTGGGCACAAGGCCGTAGATCCACTTCCATGTTTCTCCACGTACAGCTGCCTCCTGGACACAAACTTATCTACCAAGGCATCCAACAATTACCTAGAGTACAATAAACTTCCCATTTCTTTGAGGACATGGAAGAAGAGTGCAAAAGTCAATCAGATTGTTCGCTGAAACTGGCACATGAATCTATGTCAATTAGATGATAGGATGAGATTGCTTCCTTGCAATTTTCCAAATAATTGGCTTAAAACAAGCCGGTAGGATGAGACAACATGGAGTGAATTTTTGTGGCTGTTGTCAAAAGCTGCAATCTCCCTGAGGCTGGTTAACAGCAAATTAGATGAGTGTGATTGCTGTTTTCTCAAATTGAAGCAGATTCTCTTTATTCATTAAAATCTCATAAGAGGGGATTGACCACTTGTAGATGGCTTTGTGTTGTTCTTTAATAATAAATAACTGATACCTCAGTTTATCTTTATCAGTTAGTTTATCTTGTACTTAAGTCACTTTTTTAACAAATTAGAACATAAAATATCCTGAAAACTATATTTTTTGAAAAAATACCTATCTACCAGACAGAATCATACATCATCTGCACTTTCTGCTTTAGGCCAAATAAAAAAAATATTATGTTGGCCACGCTTGATCGACCCAAATTTTACGGAATTCATGGTCGACTACAATTAAGGAACAATTTTGTTTTTTTCATGAGCTAATAAGGCTGGGACTAGGCTAGGCGAACAAGGCCTAGCCTATTTTGTTGCATGGTATGCGATGCGAATCCAAAATTGTTGTCTTATTTGTGTATTTTCTACTTTTAAGCGTAAACACATTTTTGGTTAAAAAAAAAAAATTCCTTACCGATTGTTATTCTTACCTTTTGTTATTCTTATATTAGCGGTCATCCATAATTATCAACATTTTCAAAAGAGTACAAAACTTACTCTTTTCTGTTACCCCCTCCCTCCCCCTGAAAGTGTACACAATAAAATGTTGATTTGTGTAATTTTGAGATCAACATTTTATGTTTTTCATAAAAGAGTACTTATGCCTACCTTTCAACCCCCTCCCCCCTAAAGCGTATGTTTGTACTCTTTTGAAAATGTTGATAATTATGGATGACCCCTTACATTTTCCAAATTTTTTGTTCATACATTACCAATTAAAGTCTATTAGGTATTTATTATTTCTATTAGGTGGAATAAGAAATAATTAATATTGAACTTAATTTTTAAGTATTTTCATAGTTTATATACCTCGTAATAAAATAATGCATATTTCTTACATAATGCATTATGTCAAAGCCCTTATTAACCCGGTCGACAGATCAAACACATATGGAGAACATACTTAGGTCCTTATTGAATAATCCATAATGTTGTAGAACATGTAACCTCTGCACTTGCATTCAAACCTACCTAGAGTATCCTGATATTTATATAAAATATAATCAAAATGTGTTATTTTGATTAAATGATGCAACAAGATGTAGACTTTAGAAAATGCCTACACTCAACTCATTAGTAGAGTACATCAAATTTTATCTATTAATATTTTTATTACCTCCAACCACTACAGTGTGTACTCAACAATATCACAATTACCAGACAAACTCGTAGTTTTAAAAATAATTAAATAATACTAATAGTATTATAATAATGTTATCAACAAAAATATCTGGTTCAAAACCAAAAAGGATCTAGCGAATGAAAGTGCATAAATAGATGTCACACAATACAACAGCTAGTCACCCACTGACTCAGACATTGCCCCAGGATACATACTTGGTACGACAACAAACAACTGTCGACACACATCGCCAAAAGTACAAAACTCTCTCCCCTGGATCAATGTGAGGCATCTGTCATTTATCAATAATAATCATCAAATAATTGTTAATTTGTTCAAAAGCAAAATTTACAATTGAAATTTTTGTTTTAAAAAGTTTTCAGCTCTAATGAATTTAATTTCAATCCAAGTTATTCACCTCCTATCAGGTACCCATATATTTATGTATGCACAGAAACAAATGTAGATTAAGTGTCTGAACCCAAGTACATAGGCATAGTGACCAGCAGCAGACTAGACCTCCTTCTGATTGAAGGCCCGCAGCTGACCACAGCGCCACACGCTTTCATGTTATTAGAATTGTGATCCGCAACTGATATCCCAGTTATCTTTTTCAAGGAATGGAATATTGGAGTATTGATAGAAACAAAATGTAATTTTAAATCTCTACCAGTATATTTTTGAGTGAGTGCTAAAAAATGTATAGACATTATTAGTGTAATAGAGAGCTTTTGATTTGTGGTACGTTCTACCGTTGTCGTGCAATCGAAAGCTCCCTAATATCAATTACTTAGCAAAATTAACTCCATCATTCAACACAGTCAATTTCATATTCATGAATACTATTTCAGGCCATTAAATGAATGACAATCATCATATCTCAGATATGATGACCATGATAATCTCCATACAATTTTCATTTCATTTAATGATTCATTTCGCAGTGGTAACAAGTAGAGACTTGCAGGCTATAACTCAAGGACAAATTAAGAAGCACAGAGGTTTATTCTTGCTTGATGCATAATATAATATTACTAAATGCTTGTTCATTGGTACTGACATGCTTAAATGTCTGATATGGAAACTTAACTTTCCATTTTAAAGGACAGAGACTGTTTTAATAGAATCACAGCTATGCACATGGAAAATGTATTGCACATATGTATTGCATTCTATAGTATCATTATATTGGAGCAGTGATGTTAGCTCGGTAGTTGCCTTCAAAAGAACTCAGACGAAGCCTATGGTAATCATACCGACTACAAAACATCAAGTGTATCAAAACCTACAGTCAATGCTCTTTCACTTGGAACCAGCTTCCAATAACTTCTTCTAACTCTTTGTAATCTTTGCACAGAAAGACCTTTCTTTTTTTTTCGGTGGCTATTCACATTCGTTGTGCCTTTGATCTTGTTTGGAAATAGCACCATAGAAATTCAAGATATCATTATTATTACTTGTTACTTCTATAGCACGTTTCCTTGCGGTTACAAAGCGCTAAATGCCCTCCACTATAAGTAATATTTCACCCCGGGGTACAGCCCACCCAAACCAAAACCAACATTGTATGTATTTTGTTGCTGTAGCCTATTTCTCAATACAGCAGTAGCGGAGAACATAGAGTTTTAAATAAAAATATAGAAATAAGCTCCCAAGATGTTCCTTCCAGGTACTATAATTAAATCAGTGAAAATTAATGATTCATAATTTGATTTCACTTGCAGCCCCAAATGGCAACCTGATTCAGTTTCATTATTAAAACAAAAACATAGAAGTAATCAATAGAACATGCTCTATTCAGTACTGACTTCATAAAACCATTCCCTTCCAGGCCAATTGTCAAGCAGTATATGAACTCAATAACAGTAATAGAGTTACTGTAAGTACTTCCTTAAATCAATGATTTCCATACATTTTTGTGTGATACTCTGAGAGAGGTTTTGTGGGAAAATGACAGATTATTATAAAAAGTCTGTCTGCCTGGTCATTAAGTCACAGATACTTTCTTCACCAACAAACAAAGTTTTAAATGCGTACAATTAGCCTTTGGATTGATGACCTTTACATTATTTAAATTTAATCAATTTACTGATATTTAGAAATTGATTAATGATAATTGAAAATTGGTAACTCTGAATAATTTTAAATGTGCTTTTATATTTTTAACAAACTTTTTAAAGGATTTTTCAGATTTCACAACAAACTACAGTACAGTATTATTAAACGAAAATTGGTAACTCTGTATCAATTTAAATGTGCTTTTATTTTTTTAACAAACTTTAAAGGATTTTTCAGATTTCACAACAAATTATTATTAAACTACTAGTATGGATAAACTAACAATGTTATTTCAAAACAATATCTTTTATATTAAATTGATACGTTTTATCTGTAAATACCAAGGCTTTACATTTGTCAAGTATTGTGGATAAGCTGTTCTGTCATTGGCTACCTACCTCAAGTGTTACAGTTTGTTTAATAATAAAATAAATGAATATTGAACATCAAATATACAGCTGCATGCAATCTGATTATGTATAATATTGTTCTGTGTATTGTGTCATAAATGTACTCTAGAAACAGGCTAATCTTGAGGGTGTCATAATATCATGAAATAAATATAGATTTATGAAAATGGATTATTATGGCAGAACCATAAGAATATAAACTGAGTGCACTCAAATGCATTCGATCTTGAAGCCCGAGGCTTGCAACACAAGATGGCTGCTGAAATACTGTATAGTGTAGTTAATGGTTTAAATAGCACATATAATACTCCAGCTAAAAGGAAACTACACAGCATACAGAATAGAGGAAATTAAATTTGAATAGGTAAATGAAAGTTTACTGTAGAATATGTGTATTACCACTATAGTTTGCGCTAGTCAAGTCAACTCTGGCACAGTGGAGCTCTTGTCTATATAACCACAGCAATTTAGTATTTTAACACATTTATTTATATATTCAATGATACCGACATTCTTTTAAAGAGAGATCTTACTGCCAAAATCAATACTTTATACAGTATATACACGAGTCTCCATTTGTTTTTGACAGAACTCACCTATAACTAAACACCTCTCCGACCATAGAAAAAAAAGTTTGTGGCCCTTGACTAAACAAAGTACCCTCTGACTGATTAATTGTTGTGCAAAAAAATACATGCTAGCCCCCCCACTCTATCACACCCCTACCTTCAAGTCAAGACAGATCCAGACCTGTCAAGTCCTGCGCATCTCGCAGGAGTCTCACACATTTAACTTCAACCTCACACGAGGCCTGTATATTCTCACACATTCCAGAATTTTTTCAAATTATATTTTTTTAATGTAATATTTTCTCACAACAAGCATACAACATGTACAAACACGACTATCGGCGCTAGCGATTCCGTAGCGATCGTCAGTGTTCGACACCACCTGTGGTACTTTGTATCAATGTATTCAACGTAAAGTGTGTATGTTATATCGACGCTTGACTGTATTTTCTATAAGGATTGTGACCTCGCACCTAATTTTCGAAAAATGCCCAATCTCAGGCGAATCTAGAAGAAATCTCAAGTAAACCAGTGTGAGACCCTTGACAGGTTTTCATTTCTCAAGGCAGCGACGTCAGCATTTGAATAAAGTACATATAAATTGCTTAAGTCAAATTTTGAAGTAAAATATTATATTCAGTATACAACCACCGATTAAAAAAACACCACTAACAGATAATAATATAATTTATGATATATTTTTCTTTTATTAATAAAATTTTATCTATCTCTCATCAAACCATAAGTGACTTGGCATTTACAGAATAAAAAACAATCTGTGATAGCTCAGAAAGTGGGTCAAAAATGTCACGCTTCCATAAATTGTTCGTTCCTAATTCAATTCATATTTTAATCATAATTCTTGTAAACAATAAATATGTTTTTTCTTCTTTTAAAGCAATATAATCTACCATTTCAACCAACAGTATTTATTAAATTTTACATATTACATATGCTTGATTTTAAAACTGGTTTTCAGTATTTTATTATAATATATCCAGGTTGACTATTTTAACTATGTAAAGAATTTTTATAAGTAGGACCTAGAGTGGCAATGTGATTGTAATGTAGCATTTGTATTGCAATGTTGAGGTTTTAGCATTCTAACAAAGAATTTTAAGTTTAAGAAAATTTCTGGTATTTGAGATTAGCCTATAGAGGGCTCACATGAATTTCTATATCAACTCTTCATTATATTTTCATTTAAAGATTACTACAGATTTTTAAAATCATAATAGTAGTGAAAGATTTTTAATTTTATTTAATGTAAACAACCCTTTTAACCCTCTTGATCCCAACTTCGACTGCAGTTGAAATGGATTTGAAGTTGAGGCTACCCAACTTCGACCGCAGTTGAAATTTATTAACAAAAAATAGGCTGTTTATAAATTGCTGTTCTGTGTATATTTTGGCTCTAAACTTTCAAAATCTTTTGCACACATGCGTCAAGCTTGTTTATTTCTGTATTTTTTTTAAAACTGACATCGTGCCTTGTAAAAAATATTTGAAATCTTAATTTGAAAACTTATATATCTTAAAATTTCATTGGAATGGCTGCACAGGATGTTTATTATACAAGAGAGCGATCAAGTTATATTTAGATTTTTACAGCAATGAAGACAAATTTTGCAGTAATAGTAATAGTTTGGCATGCCTATCAGCTGTGATGACTGGCAGGCGATAAGCAGTGATGACGGCGGTGATGTTGATGATTAAGGGCCTAGGCCTAGAGAGGCTACGGTATAGTCAATGGAGTGGAATGGAAAGATTGTGCTTATAATTATGCATGTTTGGGCAAATGATTTATATAACGATGTCTATTGTGAGTGTTTTTATTATTTTGTTATTATTTTATTTGGCTAATTGTTCTTTTTTCAGGATTTTTTGGCCAACGATTTAGGCCTAGGTTATGCCTATTCCCTATAGGCATTTTGCTATTATTATTTTTTATTAGTACTCTCTTATCTACACATGCTTTTCACTTAGAAAACAAAATCCTAAAAATATGAATTATACATCAAGTGAAAGCTTATTCTATAAGGAACACCTTTTTTAGAAACATTTTTTTTGTAAAAAATACAAAAAGTTTTTAAAAATTAATCAGAAAGAAATACACTTCTGCAATTAAAAACCAAAATAAATCTCATTCTGCTTACGTTCAACTGCATCACGGTCTGTCAGGATCAAAGTTTATAGATGTCTACATCTTCTAGCTGGGTACAGTCATTTTCAACATATTCTATGATTACATCTCCACCACTGAACAAACACTGTTCTCCATCCAGCAGTTCATACAATTTCTGATCCATTGGGTATACTACACCAACAACTGGATGGAAGAGTCTAAGTTTCTGTATACAAAAACAAAGAATTTTCTTCATGTTCCATCTTGTGAGGTAGCAATATGATATTTAATAATCTTATATGATACTTAATATTGTAAATTATCCATTTACTGCCAGTGAATATAATTCTATAGGCCTACCTTGCTTGTTGCCAGGTTGTTGTCATTTTTTAAACCCACAGTGGACGCAACCTTGTCAACAAGCCGTCCAACGCTCCATTCTTTTGAGAAATACATAGCCTTACTCTTCTCCTTAGCTCTATATTCTTCAGGTAGATACACTTGGAAATACAAACGTTCACACTAGAAAACAGAATGAAATAACATACACATGCTATCAAGATTAGAATTTTAACTATGGGCTGCAAAGCAAGGAAAAATCTTTCATATTCAAAAATGATTAAATGAATACATTTTATGAAAGATGCAACTCATTTTTGGCTAATAATAATAACAAAAATTATGATAACAATAAAATGATGTAGGTGATGGCTACGATGATGAAATCTATGATATTGACAATGATAATAGTGATGATGACAAAGATAGTGCATCAAAATAATGGTGAAATCCAATTTATTAGGATTGATTTTCCATTAGCTTTTTATACATTACTATATACCAGTGTGAAAAGACAGTATGTTCCCAAAATCTTGCAAGTGATTCAGGTGGGAATTTACCGCACGACCCTCCAGATAACTAGCCTGGTGTTGAGCATTCAGTATGGTAACAGGTCAGGTAGGGAAAACATCATTCCTATTAAATTTTCTGACAGCACTGGACTAGTTTGAATCGTGGTAGCAGGTCTTACCTGTGGCACAGCTGTCTCCCCTACTGCATGCATCTTCATCTTCATCAGGGCAACCTTAGCAGCTGTCTTCTGTGCTTTGGTACTAATCTTTTTCCTTGGTTTTGATGGTTTAGACTCTCTTGATTCTGTTAATAAAGAGTTTTAAAGAATCTGTTTTATAAATAAAATTTGGTTGCTAACAAAAGTAATGTCCTGGGTAGAATTGTGGTACACCTTTATTTACCATCCTCAGCAATCAAACTTTTCAATTACATGAAAAAACATGAGAAGGAAATTAAGCATTCATTGGAAATCCCTGAAATACCAAAGGGTTTTCAAAGAACCAATAGGATTGCCTTGAATAGCATTGCTGTGGATTATTTATAGCTCAGTCGACTAATCTGGTGGTAACCACTGTGTGTGCGCTGAACCGTGGAGATTTCTAGGTCCCCGGTTCAATTCTCATTGCTGCCTCTCCTTACGTTTCAGCTGGAGGGCTGAAGTACAAGTTACAATAGTGCACCGTCTTTCAGGTGAGACTTTTAAGCCATTACTCCTGTGTGCATTAATGGCCCATGTGCATGTTAAAGAACGCAGTACACTCTTCAGAAAAGAGTTATGGATTGTCTCCGGATGTACTGCCCAATCACCACCAGAAGGACCCCACTGCAAATAAGTCTTCTTCCAGACTTTCGTGGGTTATCCTTGGTGTTTACACCAAATAAATCCAATCCAATCCAGTCATCAAGTATTCACTTTTAACAAGACAGTTAATATCTTCTAGCACATTGTGTGTATCACTATATGTTGGTCTTGTGATATATTTTAAAATGTTTATTGCTTGTGGGACTCACTGGAAAGAAGTGTTTTCTTTATGCGTTTTGGATTTTACTCTTATTAAAGATGATTAAAAAGAAACAAATAAAGGCCATGCTATCATTTACCTGCAATTTGTTGGATGAGTTGAGCTGTCTTTTGCATTGCATCTGGCTTCTCTACTAGCTTTTCACAGCCATGATCTTGTTGATGACGATGACTTGATAGAAAATAAAAATCATTATTAATAATAAGTTGTAATGAAGGGAGTGCGCCATTCAAAATCAAAGCACATTGTGTTAAGAATTGTTTACTGCATGCAATGTGGGCAAAATTAACTTTCCAAGGCTTGTCTTGCTCTCTTAGATGTTTAATACTATTTAGGTTTGCTACATATCCCCTGTAAACATGGTTTGAATATAAAAATATATATAAAATAAACAGCCAGATTCAAACAAGATGACAAGATGACATCGAAAGCTTCCAGAAACTAAACAATACCTTTGAAAGGTAACTTTGAAAGGAGCGTGAGGTGCAGCGTCTAAGGTGTTGGACTTTTGATTGTGAGATCGGGAGTTTGAGACCGACGCTTGTCGCATCACTTGTGTCCTTGGGCAAGGCATTTTACTTACATTTGCCTCTCTCCACCCAAGAGTATAAATGGGTACCTGGTAGGATGCTCTGGCATTGAATGTATGGGTTGTGCGCGAAAAAAAACAAAAAAAAAAAACACTCTTTTATTATTAATGACAGAGTTAGAGAATAACTTTCATGCGATTTTATATGTAAAATATGTTGCTTATAGCTCCTCCAAACACATCAATTTGTATTCAGGGTAAACAAAATTACAAATAATTTAAGAATGATGATGACATTTGGCTGTTTTAATGTTCTTACCTAAGGCAAAAGTTCTTTCTACATTGTTCACAGATGACAGGAGTGAGTTCCTTATTCTTACAATCATCTTGTTCACACGAATATAAAGAAAATGAGGCTGATGACGGACCAGTTACTGTTCCACCTACTTTTGTATTCTAATTTTAAATTATAAAATATTATTTATGAGACAGTTTGATTTACACTGAGATAGATTATTCAGTCTCATGCCTGTACTTTTCATTTCACTGGGGTCACATGACAATGTGCAGTAATGCATGCTTGTCAGTACATTACTATTATAAAAAGGTTGTTAGCATGAAAGAGCATCAATATACACAGGGCCAACAGTTTCAACACTTCTTATGAAAACATATTTCTGCACTTTTAACAGGTCACAGGGAGCAATTAGACAGTGATTCAGTTTAAAATTTTGGCATCATTTGCTGTATACAAACACTATTAGTAGGCTATCTTTGAAATTGTGTCAGTGTATTTGTGTATTGTAAACTAGGCCTACATATTTTCATGCATCCTGGGGAATAAATACATGAAATGAAGAATTAACAGCTGTCACCGCATCAACATTATTAGACAATGGATACCAACTTACCTGGACACACTCATGGGATCCTTTGCTTCTATGTTCCTTACTAAAAAATAAAAAGTTGACATAAAAGTATAAAAAATAATTACATAAAATTGTCTCAATGAAATAAAGCACTGTAATGCTCATTCAAAGGGCTAAGTTAAAAAAAATGTTTAAAAGAGAACTAAGTAAAAAGGCTGAGGGAAAACAGCCGGGGAAATAGGAACAGAAATATAACCACAGTGGAATACTTTGGTGGTACAGTGTATTTTTCTGACAGGTCTAAAGTATAGTTTTTTACAACTTGCAAGAAAATCAGGTCCTTATTCAAATTTCTGGATGGGGAAATGTATTCAATACACAGGCCCTACTCTATTAGTCTGGATTCCATGTTCAATAGGAACTTACCAAAATGTGCGGGAACAATTGTCACAGTAAAATGGAAGAAAATCTGAAATGTCAAGAAAATAATGGGTATGAAAGAAATGATTAATTAAAATGTAGTACTGTATACCAAAATTCAGTTTTCAACCAATTATTGCACAATTTTGAAACACTGCTGGTCAGAATTCAAAACTGAAAAAAAAACTTTATATATCCAAACAAGATATTTGTTATTACTGACAAAGATCATAAATACTATTAGTATACGACACACAACATTCAAAATTTTAAAGAAATAGGGGAATTAACTAGGCCTACATGTATACATAAGAGACTTAGGAATTCATCTGCCAACTAGCACCTGTTGCAAAAACCTGCGCAGCCTAGCCTCTCTAGGCCTACAGTAGGGCCTAGTCACATAGTATTCAACATTTGACAAAATATTCCAAAATTTGTACAAAAATATTAGCATAGTGAACACCATCAAACATCATCCTCCTTAAAGAATAAATAATATTTAAAATTGTTAAAAAATTGGATAATCTTGCTGATGACACTTTTTTTTCAAAATGGTTCAGGGGACACTAACTAGAGGACATAGACATAAGTTTAAGATTAAAAAGCAAAGTTACTGGAGTAGGATCAGGCAGAATACCTTCTCAATAAGAAAGAGCCATTAATAATTGGAACTCACTGCCTGCACGTGCTGTTGAGGCTACCACAGTAAACCAGTAGTAACAAAGCAGCTTTGGAGAAATCCTGGGCAAACCATCCCTTGAAGTATGACCCACTATAATAAAAGTTCCAGTGGATGTAATGAGGGGCAAATATATATGCAACGCTTCCAGCCACTAGGCATCAAAGAAAACCAAAGTACAATTGACAATTGTTCCAATAAAGAATGAAACGTAGAATCAACTATGGCCTCTTGCCTGTCATTTTTCGGAGTCACCATGCTCATATTTTATAAATAAACCAAAGTAAAGTAAGTAAGTAAGTAAGTAAAGTAATACCCAAGAAAGAGGCCTTCTTCGTTATCCTACCATAGGCTAGGCCTACTGCGTTACTGAGTAGAAAAGAGTATCATCGCGGTCGTTATGTCCCGACTGGCTGGCCTTCTCAAATCAGTAAACGCCGCTTGCATCCTAAACTAGGCCTAGGGCCTAGCGTAGGCTAGGCGTATAGGTAGACCCCGCGACCCAAGCTAGCTAGCCTAGGCCTAGAAGTAGGCTAGGGCCTAGCCTAGGCCTGTCCTAGAATCTTAAATTAAAACATATAATGTAAATGGTGGTTCTTTCTTTTCTATAGCGCCAACAAATATATCATTGACTTCAATTTCAATAGGCTATATTGATTCTGAAACTACAAAATAACTAACCAAGCTGATTGCAATTTGGAAAGTCACAGTGTTTTCCGATGTGTAATTCGGCCATCGCGCTTCTCCCCTCGTCTGTCTGCCCATGCGTGACTATTAAATGGTAACCACTACAATGCTAAAGTGTTTGAAGAACCAATAGGAATGCCCTGAGAACCATTGTGGTAGATCTGATTTACCCTGCAAAATGACTTGACTTTTTATGCTTTTACCAAAGAGTTAATGGTTTCCTTCGTAACGTGAAGCGCGGTCATTGCTGTGATTGATACTGTTTTGAATCATTATTTTACGATGTTTGTTCCATTGAATAACTGCGATACTACAAAGTGGTCTGATTTCACATTAATATGTGTACGTATGAGCAATTCACATAATCGCTAGATTAGGCCATAGGCCCTAATAAATATATTATTTTCAATGCCTAGGTCTAGCATGTAAGTAACACTGTTGTACGCTTTTGGTGGGCCACACACTCACACACTTGGCCTAGGCCTAGGCCTAGTTAAGCATTTGCCTATTTAGAAGGGACTGACTGGGCTAGGTAGGCCTAGGCCAGACTTATTTTTAGTTGATGACGCTAAGCCTTCAGTTCACAAACATACTTTTTGCTAGCTTGAGTAGGATGAGGCCTAAAAAGGCTAAGTAAGCCCATGATGAGGTAGTGTTGTATAATATTAACAAGATAATAAGATTAAGAAGACTGCTGTGACCATGGAGGGGAAGAAAATTAGGCCTAGGCCTATATTATAATATTATGAAAGACTCTCAAGTCCTAGGGAGGCTAACTAGTAAGAAGAGTATGAAAACCTAAAACAATCAATAACATCAATAAAGTCAAGCCTTTTCTGTCTGAGCTTTAGAGCGCACCCCTCGGACTCATTTCCATGCGTTTCCATGCGTTTCTTGTCAGCCTCTCTAGACCTGCACACGCTCCCCAAAGGGCAGCAGATTTTGTTGGGGAAACCTGTTAATAGTGATTACTTCCACTTCTCTCCACAAATGTTGTTACAGCCATGCATATCTGTAGGCAATGTGGGACAACTCGCAACAGATCTGCTCATCTCTACTTTGAAGATGCAACAAGTTGGATATCTGTATGATTCAAGTATGTTACCAATGTGTGGTAATGATCCATTCAGTACTTCTGGCCTTGTGGAAGGGAAGTTGTGTACATCTGCAGAGGGTAAGGAAAGTTTTTAAAGGTGCAACTTTGCTTTAAGTTTTAATGCCCCTAAAATCCTTCTTATTCAGATATAAGCATTTACCTTCTATAATTTAGACACCATTCCCTGGGTAATATTTTGAGTTGTGCTATGTTCAGTATACCAGGGTTCTTCGGCTACCAGCTATGGTTGTGCAAGAATCTATTCACCATGAAATTTTTATTGAATGTGAATTTATAAAAAGAAATTGATAATAGTTTAATAGTAATAGAAACCAAATTCAAAAGAATTTTTAAGTATTTTCATATTCTTGAGTTAAAACTTCTGTTTTTTTTTTTAAATTGTTCTATAGTATACAAATGCGACGAGAAGAAGTTACTGGTTGTCCAACTACGTGCATTGCTTGTAAAGGTATTTCAACATAAATTTGTTAATTTTTTATAAAGTCTGTAAAATGTACTTGCTTGTGATGATTACCAAATAATCTAATGAAATAATTTTTTTTTTTGCTTTAATAATCATAATAATATTTTAGCATTTATATAGGGCTTTTTACCAGAGTCTCACAGCGCTTTCCCCAAGGTGATAATAAAACAGCAATAAGTAGTTACCTTCTCCACTAACGGGCACAAAAACATTATAATTTATATACTCAACAGAAGAACAATCAGGAAAAATAAACTACTTCTTTTTTATCATTATTGCTGTAAACAGGGTAAACACAGTCAATTTAGAAAGAAGTTACTCGACTGGATCCAACAGAGTACCTTTAGACAGGTCATCCTGTTAACAAGCAGTTTTGCCTATGAAAGACTAGACTCACAGATAACAGGGTAAGTTGGAAGCCCAAGTTCTTATACCACTGGTATTAGTGTGTATTTATTCAATTGACATAGGCAACCAATACCTGTGTATTGTGACCTAGTGTGAATGCACTTGTGGCACCAGAGATTCCCTGAAGTGGCATCCAAGTTCTCCAACAGGGTTCACACCCAGATCAGCTCCACGATAGAAGAAGCAAGAAGTGAATATGCAAGTCTAGATGCATAGAAATTGCACTCTCAGACTGTATAAATGTTTTTTCAAAGTAGTATTCCCTGATGAAATGGTTGATGGATGTTCAGAATTGATGAGGCAGGGGAAGCAACCACACTGTGAATGCCTAGTGCAATCTCACATGATAAGTGAAATAATTAACTAAATTTTACTCACACAGATCACCATTGAGGTACCTTGTTACACCGTTACTAAAGAAGATGCCAAATGCACCAAACACATGCAACTTGCAGTGGACACCACTTGAGAGGAGGGAATATGTGTGGTCACCTGAGCCAGACAATGCATCCATACCAGAGGAGGCAAGAGGCATTTACTTACCTGGTGGAGGTATTGCAAGAAAGTTCTTTGAAGAGTGGTAAGTTTGATAACACATGTAAATTTGTCTGTAAAGTGGTACCGCTACCTATTGTCAAAGTCAGCAGGGGCGGATCCAAAGATTCCAAAAATGGGGGGGGGGGCCGAAATTTGGGCCAATGGAGACAACGATGACCTAGGGGGTCCGAAATTTTTGTGTTCTAGACGCTCGAAAATAACATTTGAGGCGTTGTGGGCTATCATTTTTTTCTTTTTCCTTTTTTTAACCCCCAAAAAGGGGGGGGGGCGGGCCGGCCCCCCCCCCCTTAAATCCACCCCTGGTCAGTAGAGAAGGGGGATTGTACACATCCTCTCTCTGTATTGCTAATAATATTCTTATAAAAGTAGATTCAGTAACTGCTGAATATATGTATGTTAAGGCAATTCTGGTGACATAAAAATTTATCTTTTGTTAAATCCTGCACGTGTGCCAATCTCTTACTTGTATGTGTAGCATGTGCTCCATATGTTAGTATGTGTTCCATATGTGTTTGATCCAATGACCGGGGTAGTAATGTGAAGCGCTTAGAGGCTTTGTGAATGAAGTACATACTAATTATTATTATTATTACTTAAACTACTGTATGGAAAAGACAGAAAATGACCAGAGAATGATCTTTTAAACATTACATATTCATTCAAACTGATTGTGTTTGTTTTTTTTTTTTTATCATTGACTAGTTGTAAGGAGGATATACCCCTTGCTGTTTTACTTATCTTCTGTTCCGAAGGAGACAACATCCCCCATGCAGTGCAGCTTGCAAACTATCTCAACGATTGGCTGAAATTTACAGAGAAAAGGGTATGTCTAGTCATTAAGATTTCTTTCTTTTATTTTAATAGGGATTGAATCAATAAGTGGTAGGTTCCTGTCAATTGAATCTTCTACATCATTGTTTTCATTGCAAATTGGTAATTATCAGAACATTGAAAGCTGTAGCGTTATCATTAAATGCATTTTTGATTTAATATTGTTCTTTTTCTTACAGACAGAACCATCCGGATGTACCTTTAAGATACCAAGCTCATGGACATTATTATTTGGAAGTGCAGTAAACCCTGAATTATACTAAGCACTAACTGCAGAAAAACTGTATACACCATTGGGAGACTTTCAGAGGCCTAGCATTTCGCTCTAAGTAGTTGCTATCATGGATTAAATCAACGATAAAACTAAATTACTAACAAGCACAAATATTTTAAAACGGAAAAAACATGAAATGTTTATTAAAAACAAGTCTAATTCTTAAAAAACTATTTTAATGTTTACATATACAGTAATTAGCAAGATCGTATCTGTTGTCTACTGCTGCTATAGCAAAAGTCTAGCGGCCCTATCCACTGCGCGGTGCTCTTTGTAACTGGCTATCTGCTCAGGCCAATGAATGAAAAAATCCAATTGATGGTGAGAGTTGCACCAAGATGAATGTTGTGCACTTAAGCCAAGAGACTAAAGTAGACCACAATTCTAACAGATTTACTTCAATGTTCATTCTCCTTCTCATGCCAGCTGGTATGTTTGGAAGCCTTAAGGCCTATGAGTTGATTGACATGAAAGCACTAAAACAGAACTGATTGGCATTTTGTTAATGTAGCAGTCCCACTCATAATTATTGAGTTTTACATTAAGTATGAAAATGCCAAAAGTCTGGAACTTAACATTCTCCAATTGTGATGCCATGATTAAAATGTAATGTCATGTGTGGAACATGGTTAAGGCTTAGGGCTTTTCCACTGATATATCATCATGAGGTCAGTGCGTATCTAGGAGTCTTATAACGGTGGGGGGGGGGGGTGATGGAGGGGGAAGATACGCCACTGCATGAGGTCAAGCCCGATGCTTGTTACTTTTTTTTGTACATGGGCAAGACACTTAATCTACATTTCTCTCTCCATCAGGAGTATGTACTGTTGATACTTTGAATGATGCAAAACTACCCCGAGGGAACGGTGGTGGTTACACATTGTTAAATGGCATAGGGTAATAATTACCTGTGCCTAGATAGATGTGGTGTGCTATTATACAGTAGAAAAACCGAAAATTATGAGATTATGCACAAAACATGCAGGGTTTCCTGTTCCTGCTTAGGCCAAAAAAATAAATTTGTGTGTTGGCCATGTTTTGTGAAAATCCAAAAAATCAGTAGGTCGGTAGGAAAACTTTTTTTTTTTAAACCAAAAATGTGTTTCCGCTAAAAAAAAATAGAAAATACACAAATAATACAACAGTTTTGGATTCGCATAGAGTACCATGCACCAAAATAGGCTAGGCCTTGGCCCCCTAGCCTAGTCCAGCCTTATTAGCTCATGGAAAAAAAATATTGTTCCTTGTAATAAAAAAATATAAATAAATAAATAAAATGCCGACCCTGAATTTTATAAAATTTAAGTCAGTCGGGCATGGCCAACACAATAATTTTTTTATTTGGTCTTATTTAATGACAATTAAGTTTGATTGATACCATATTGTATTTTATTGGCTAGACAATAAAAATAAATAGCAATACAGTATATTTGTTGAATTTTATCATCATTTTATTTAATCAGAAACTGTACACAGTACATAACATGATATTTAACCCTAGCTTTATGATGACCTTCTGATTTAAGTCTCAACTTTGCTAAAAATTGCTCAAAAACTGCACAACTATTTCAAATACAAAAAGGCTGCTATCCGATACCAACAAACCAAATTTAAGAACTCTTTTCTTTTAGGTAGGGTTTGCAAAAACAAGTATAATACAAATTCAATTTTCCAAGGCTAACACATGTTAGACACAATATAATGTTTATTATTAGGATTCTAAGGTTAAATGTCATCTGTAATTCATTATAATGCATTTAAATAGAAAAATAAATAATCCACCTCTGCACTTATTCCTCCATGCTCTATGCTGTAAAATCAGTTTAACAAGACAAAAATAATAAAGAAACCCAACTCATGCCCCTTTACTAATGTTACCCAACATAAACTCATACCCCTTCCTTACTAACCTTACCTGATATGGGATTACTGTCTGGTAATACTTATCAGTGGAAGAGCAGACTTTATTATGTTATGACTAAAGGTGTGTATTATAGTGAAAGGGAGGTAAATCCTGGAAGAGTTTATGGTCACAAGTTAATGATCTGGCACTATTTGTAATACATTGATAACAGTAAAGGGGTGACAATGGAGCTTCTGAATTAAAAGTGGGAAGTAAAAGTGGGGGGTGAGCTGTGGAGGTATACAGCTTCGTATATTTGCCACAAACAAGTGGCTGTCATTCATTAAACTAAAGAGAATTTTGGGTACAAGATTACTTGATTAGTCAAACAAGCACAACTATGTAAAGGTGAAATGTCATTAAAATATATAACATTTGTATTTTTCCAGATATGATTGGAGTGTAGGCATACTACATTATTTATCTTACAGACTAAACAATGTCTTATTAGATGTTGATAATATGCCATATCAAACCTACACATACACTGATATAAAGATAAACTAAATCAAAATTATATGCTATTATTGCAACAATAAATTATTAATCACTCATAATTTTACTTTCTACCTTTCATAATTATGTATTTAATGTTTACAAAATATTTAGGTTTATGTGTATAAAAGAAAAAAAATGAATTGGAATGATCATAACAAAACAATATAATCAGACAATACAGTATTATACCAAATCCCACTACATTACATTACATTATTAAACTTCTGGTCTTACAGCTACGATGCTAATTTTGAAGTATGTGAGCATCACATAACAAAATTATTCAACTACCTGTACTTAAAATCTACAAGTACTTTAGGCATTATATTTGTGAAATCAATACATGTGATATACAAATCTTATTTCATTTTTTTTATTCATAGTTTAAAATTTTAAATACAGAAGTAATTTAATTTGTGGCCTTTACAGATTGCTTCTCTACTAGTGGTGCCAATAACCAGCACTGAAGTCCATGATTTTATGCAGTGGTGGCACCAGAGAATCCACAACAAGGAGTTTTAGCTCCCCGACAGAGGGGCCCCAAGCAGTGGTGGCTCTAGGATATATTTTTGTTGGGAAGCTAAGTTGTCCGACAGGGGGATTTGAGCTTGTAGGCTCGAGCTGGGGAAGGGGTTGAGAGGGGGGGCCCTCCCCCTCCCAAATGAGATTTTTTTAAAAAGAATATCAACCTCTAGATGGCCGAAAATGGCACCCTCAGACTGTGACAGACATGAGTTGGCTTGGTGTGAGCCTATTTTTATGTTTTATGGTCTGACTGCCCGACGAGCCCTGTCCGGCGGAGGGCTTGACCTAATCCCCCTGCCCCTCCCCCCTGGTGCTGCCACTGTCCCTAAGGTCCACACCTCAGCTCAATGTTTAAAATAGGCAACTTAAAATGCCCAGAAATGGCACCCTCAGACTGCAAACACTTTTTTGAAAGCTGTGTTCCCTAATGGGGGATACTGTACCATCACTGATTTTATACCAGAGAGACTAGTGGTGTACTGGTCCACATTTCCAAAATCCAATGTTTTACGCAGGCTCCAGGTTCTGGAATGTTTTTAATAAGTCAAAACAGCCTAAGGGTGTAGTGACAAGCCTCCTACTAGACCTGCAACTGGTACCATGCCAATATGGCAAATTGTAGACGGTAGTTATTTTTTATAATACATTAAGCAGTGCAGTTATGGGATCAACAAACTATACCCACAAAGTGCACTTTGGATAAATTCGATGATCGTCATTATTCAATTTTGACTAGACAAACAACAAACATTAACAAGATTCTCAAGGGTTTTATCATTATTAAATTCTGCTGCACAATACAATAATAACAATAATAATCAATAAATAATAATAATACTAATAATATGAATGTATAAACAATATTCATCTGTTCGTGATCAATATACCGTAATAAGTTTCTTCTGCTGAAATCAGTATACAATATTTTAGTCTAGATATCAGCTAGATTAGAAATGATCATCGCATATCTGAAGAATTTGAGCTGTAGCGAGACAAAACTGTTACACTGATGATTATATACTGAACTGAACAGAAGAAAAGTATTATTATGATATACTGTAATGGAATTATATTAATAAAAATTTGAACAAAATAATTATTATATATAACAATTAAATGATAATATGAATTATCTGTGATTAATGTAATCAAACATATCTTTTACATGGTGAATTATGTTATTGATTTACATATTCTTGACTCTTTCTTCTAATGCATTTAATTGGTTGGCAATCTCCTCAGGTAAGTCCCTATTCACCTGTTCATCAAAGTACTTCCTAATTGCATCTACTTCCTTTTCCCAGAATTCCTTGGGCAAGTTGAAAATTGCATCCATATCTACTGGCTCAAGATTGTCCAAATTTAGACTGCCTTCTGTAGGAATAAGGCCGATCGGGGTCTTCTTACCGGTCGGTTCCCCATCAACTCGACGACAGATCCAATCAAGCACTCGCGCATTTTCTCCAAACCCAGGCCACAAGAACTTTCCTTCTGAACTCTTGCGGAACCAATTGACGTGGAATATTTTTGGAAGTTTGGCGCCCTCATGCTTTTCCATGCCCAACCAGTGGGATAGATAGTCTCCAAAATTGTAGCCAAAGAATGGTCTCATTGCAAATGGGTCATGCATTATTACTTTACCTGCAAAAAATATGTTTTAAAAATTTAATATAGTGGTGTCTTTAATTGGAGTATTGATATGGGTATTCAAGGTTTCTAGATGTACTTAAATTTTGTAGTAAGCAATATTTAAGTAGTTAATTTATTCAGAATTGTGAATAAAATTTAAATGAAATCACAAGGTGTAATTAGTACTGGTAGCCATTAATTCAAGAAGAGCAATTATTGAAAATATTCCCACATGGCTATCTTTAATCAGGATTTAATGGCAGTACCTGCACCATGTTCTCAATGAGTTTGCCCTTGTTATGTGTTGCAGTAAAATGTTACAGTGCAATCAATTTGAACAAAGCTTACATAACCAATGTTGAAGGGACAATAGTGCTTCTACATCTATCATGATACTTGGCAGAATCAAAATATTTAAACATTACTAAACATTAGCTAAGACACAGAGACCCTTAGGGCTGCAGAAGTTACTGAATGAGATACAGTAGAACCTCAATTTTACGTACAGTAGGGACCGGAGGGCATACGTAAATCGGGGGATTCGTAAAATAGAGGTTGGGTTAAATTTTTGGTAACCTTTGACCTAATATGTACGTAACGCTCATTGTCTGGGCCTGTTCAGACAAACTAAAACCATGTGCGCTGTGAGCCAACCAATTAGCGTTCATGTACGTGAGACAGCAACCATGTGCAATGCACTGGGCGAGCCAACCAATTAGCGTTCGTGTACGAAACTATGTCTACCCAGCTTCGTGTAAAAAAATTTGACCAGACGAGATTTTCCATGGTTTGCCACACGAAGCTAAGGAGGAAAGCAATTATTTTGAGCATCATCGGTAGTTATTCACTCAGTTCACATGGTTTTAGATTACAACAACCCGGTATTAGACTCAATCAACGTTGCTGTTCAATGAAAATATGTTGCATTATGGTTTGTTTATTGTTATAGTCTTTTTACTTATGGTTGCTCTGAAAAGAGCCGTTTGTTTTGAATATTTTCAGGTTTTTTGATGACCTCATCGTTGATACGAGGCGTACGTAAAACCGAGGGTTCGTATAACTGGGCTCCGTAAAAACGAGGTTCTACTGTATGTCCATGTGTTGAGCGCCATGAGAGTCAGGTTTTCCTGATACCAGAGGGGCGCTATAAAAATATCCACTATTCTTATTAATACTATGAGCGGGTCTCATGAATATGTTTTGTATAAATTAAATAATAATGTAGCTAAGGAGGTAGTACTTACCGACATGCTCAGCTGCAGCGGTTGATTCTGACCGCATGGCAGCACCAACAAACACACCATGCTTCCAATCAAAGGATTCATATACAAGTGGAACACCTGATGGAAATAAATCACTTAATATAATAACTACAGCATACATTAATTTGAAACATGTAACAAATTGTCAGAATTATAATAAAATACAATGGTTTATTTTCAGGAACAAAACATAGTGAATAATGATCAAACCAAAGGCTTGTAGAAAATAGTTAATTATTAAGTCATTCACAGACTAATTAATTTAATTCAACTTTTAAGAAATGATAACCCCAAAAATGTACAAATTCCATCTTTAAAGCTCCTTACCTTCGGGTCTACGTCCGCCAAACACAATAGCATCAATGGGCACTCCCTCTGGACTTTCCCAGGCTGGGTCCATGGTAGGGCATTGGCGTGCCGGGGTACAGAATCTGGAGTTCGGATGGGCAGCTAGGATATTCTTTCCCGTATCAGTTAGCATGTCCTTATGCCAACTTTTATGATCAAGCCAGGATGTGAAGGTAAGTCCCTGTAAGTGATCACAACCAGTTGTTAGCATACATTTTATAATTCAATTAAAATTGTATGTATATTTCCTCTTCTAACAACAATAGACTTGTGAAGAGTCTTGCCATAAGTGAGGGTGTTTATTTCTAGTTTGAGAGTTGAACATAGGGAAAGTTGTTGTCATTTTGTTTGCATGATTTTACTGCTTTTATCAATTTATTGGTTTGCTCATGTCAAATGTCAATGTATCTTGACAATGGATATCATGGATTTTGAAAGAGAATGGTTAATTCAAATAATAATGTCATTAATTTGTTCAATAACCACCTACTATATTTCATTACGTGTTTCAAGGTTTCATGTTTTTTAATGTTGTAGCATTGCATTAAATTTACCATATAATATGGATTACAGAATTAAAACATGGTACCCTCACTTCAAGCTTACCTTAGGGGTCTCATCCTCTAGTCCCTCCCACCAGAATCCACCATCAGAGGTTTCTGCAACATTTGTGAATATTGTGTTCTTCTGGATCGTAAACATCGCATTAGGGTTCGTCTTCATTGAAGTTCCTGGAGCCACACCAAAGAAACCTGCCTCCGGATTGATTGCACGAAGTCTGCCCTCACTGTCGAACTTCATCCAGGCGATATCGTCACCAACACACTCCACCTTCCAGCCTGGAAGGGATGGGTTCATCATAGCCAAGTTGGTTTTGCCGCAAGCACTGGGAAATGCAGCTGCAATGTACTTCTTTTGTCCTTCTGGGTTTGTGATACCTAATATCTATCAGGTGTAGGAAACATTTGATGGTTAATAAATAATAAAGTAAACAAACTTTTTACTATTATTTTCCATTAATATTTGTATTATCATTTTTTTAATTATTATTTAATTATTACTATTTGTATTTTTTTTATATAAAATACTAATTATTATTACATTGATCATTATCACCATCATTATCATCACCACAATTAAAGCCCCATTCCCGGCAAAATTTCAATTTTTAAGAAAAATCTAATTTTTGTATAATGTTATAAAGATTTATAAATATAATACGGAATTGCTAGTTTAACTGAATTTAGACATTCCTAAGAA